GATGAGAAGTATATGACTTAGCGCGGTTGGAATTTAAAACGGGCATTAATTTCCGGACAACCTAATATTTACTTTGCGACCTGGATTCAATTGCAAACGAATGGCGTTTCCTCGAAAATCCAGATACTGTATGTGCAATAAACTGTTTACATAATGCCCACTTGACTATATCCTTTAAAACTATCTAGACTGAGATATCGGCACCTCGTAATGGGTAGCCGTTGCAGTCATTTGACCCAGAAATATTCTTTAAAGAAGGCAATCGGAAGATTAGGAGATTATATAATTTAGAAGTTTGAGGCCTTCTCAGAAAATGTTTGAAAAAAGTGACGGTTATAAACTCAATCTTTTTCTCTTTGCAAATCTTCTTTGTTTAAGTCCTATTTATCTTCGCTTAGTGGCTTGCAGCTAAAGATAGGCAGTCAGTAATTTATACTAACAATTCCTCCCATTTTCTGCTCTCCGGATTCCTCCCATTTTCTGCTCCGGAGACCTCCCATTTTTTGCTCCGGATACCTCCCATTTTCTGCTCCGGAGACCTCCCATTTTTTGCTCCGGATACCTCCCATTTTCTGCTCCGGATACCTCCCATTTTCTGCTCCGGAGACCTCCCATTTTCTGCTCCGGAGCCCTGCCATTTTCTGCTCCGCAAGTCTGCTGCGGCATACTGTAATTAGCCCTAATTAAGCTCCAAACCCCAATTATGTCTCTAAACCCCACCCAAATTAGCCGAATACGACCCCCCCCCCGGGTAAGAGTTCAGCGCGACCCTCAACCCCGTTTCTTTACCCCCTCCCTCTCACCCCTAGCGTTTGTGGATAGAAGATAGAAGAATGAAGAAACAAGACATTTATTTCAAATTAACTGCAAACATTCTCCTGCAAATTGCAAAACAAAACTTAGCAGCTACAAAACGGACAACAAAGCAGTAAAGCAGTAAAGCGATAAGGTACGTCTGGTTCTGACTACGAGCATTTTCAAGACGACAAGAAACCTCTGAAAATCGGATGAAGAGCAAAGAATACCAAACACATGAACACACAAAAAATCCCCTACCGCTGAATATTGTGATAGTGAGATGAGGGTACGAGTTGGCAAGGTTCTAAAACAGCCTGCTGATCTATAGGGAAACAATGGCTGTGCGAATTTGTAACTACTGGCGAGAGCTCGAAAGCATTTCGCAGCAACAGCACTTGGCTGACTATAGCACTAAGACATTAACCAGTCTAGCAGGTGGCTCGATTGCGTGATATTCCGTACTACTTCAGATACTCTTGAATAAGACGATTCAGTTGAAAAACACTTTCACCATCGAAGAGATATAACCAATTTCAAACAAGAAAGAGCATATTATGAAAGATAAACAAGAGAAAAAGGACCATAGAAGTGATTTCCAACATAAACATACCGTAGTATTCGCGCTTGACACAAGTTTTTCCAACCAGCCATATAAATAACCATCTTCACCAATAGATTTCTGAGCTTCAAATATTCTACCACAGCTGAGTAGACGTGTCATAGCTAAGACCGTCTTTTGCTCCACTTATGAACCAACCATGAAAAAGATTAAATAAATAGCGATGCATAGAACAGCAACATGAAAACATACATCATTTTCCCTATTCTTTTTATCTGCTGCTATCGATCTGTTGCACCAGCCGATGAATAGATAAAATAGGCTTTGCTTCTTTTCATCCGGAATGCCACGATTTTCTGGACTAACATTATCAATGATCACAGCAATAAGTTTGGAATAGCGTAGCCGCATCATCGCCACCACTGCTATGTCACGATCCTGATATAATCTTGCTTGTTATCAAGGACTACATTTCAACGTAAAAACTGCATACCAGATCGCTTTCGAGGTTTTCTCTCATAGATGAAATCGAGTATGAGTGGACTCAGACTGCCCAAACTATCTATCATTGCGGAATCCAATAATCCACGGAATACAGCCACCTGATAAGGTATCGATATTGAGGGGTACGAAAAAGTTTAGATATACCTTCCAAATACCGCAATCCACTGCACCTAAAAAAGCAAGCTCTCTGACTGATGGGAAGAAAACTTCATTTGGACTTTACTCGAATTATATACTTTCGAAAATTGTTGTTGTTTCGAAAATCCAGAATTAATCACAAAAACTACTCCATCAGTAGTCAACGATGTCTCAGCAAGTCGAAAAGACCCCGCACGAAAATTTGAAACAAACCTGAAAACGAGGAACTTACAACAACATAAACGCCAACGCGATAATGAGCAACGCGGAAGAGAAAAAAACGGTAACAAACGCGGAGAAACAACAAAATCGAAAAAAAAACGACTAAAATATGAAGAAAGAGGGTAAACAGAGGACTCATCACCATGGAGTTAGACGTTTGCTTGCTACGCGCCAAATCGATACGCAGCCACTCTTGCTCCGGAGACCTCCCATTTTCTGCTCCGGATACCTCTCATTTTCTGCTCCGGATACCTCCCATTTTCTGCTCCGGATACCTCCCATTTTCTGCTCCGGAGACCTCCCATTTCTGCTCCGGATACCTCCCATTTTCTGCTCCGGATACCTCCCATTTTCTGCTCCGGAGACCTCCCATTTGTGCTCCGGACCCCTCCCATTTTCTGCGGCGCGGGTCTTCCAAATCTGGCGGACTCGCGCCGGGCAAATTTCTGCCAGATTTGGCAGAGCCGCGCCGGAGAAATGGCGTACCTTTGCAGCAGGGCCGGAGAAGCGTCCCATTTGCCTGCCAGTGATGTCACTGCGACGGACCGCCCATTTGCCCCGCTCTCATTGGTCAACTTGGTCCGGCGCGACTCTGGCAGATTCGGATTGTCCAGCGGAGGGGTCCGGTCGATTGTCTGAGGCGGTACTGCAAAAGTTGCGTTGCTTCTGATTGTCTTTATCGCATTCAGAAGTGTGGATTCCAGGAAGTTAAAGCATGTCCAACTGAGAATTTGCAAACGGCTGCTGTTTTTGCATCAACCCAATACTTTGTATACAGGGTGTCCCAAAAAAATGTGCCTACTGTCTGACTGTAAATAACTCTCTTGTAACGAAGTGTTTCGAGAAGCTTTAAATACCATTTTTTAGAGCGAGGTTGAACTTTGATTTACATTATAGAGCGGATCATCTATCGCTTTTCATTACTGTGGGGTTGGTACGAACTTCCACCATATGGAACCAATGTGAAATATACCACCTAATAACATTTTCCTCAAAAAATCTGAAAAATTGTGTACTAGGATTTTCGCGCATGCTGATTCCACCTAACAACTTTGTACGAGTGTTTTTAGCTTTTTGAAGCTTTAATACATTTCTGAAAAATGTTGAGAATTGAGTTATTACGACTTATCGGGGATAACTCAGGAAAGAAGCATCAGAGTAAAATGTGGATTTCAGATTCGAAATCAGAGGCTCCCATTACCGTGTTATAAGAGTTTTTGGCTTGTTTAGTTTTGTTCCGAGGCAGTATATAGCCTCCAATGGCTTAAAGGCAGCGTCTCACCAAAGTTGAGGTCGCGGGGATCTTTACATATTCTATCATAGGAACCTCTAGATAGGCCATTGCAACAAGTCCCACTCAATTTGACCCCCTCTACGCTGAGAAAAATTCGCTCAAAGTGGTACGCGGAGAGCCAGTTGGTACGCGCGGACGACTCCTTCGGTCTCCCCCCTTACGCGTTTGAACATGTCCCTCCACTTGGCATCCACCTCCCCTCTGTTGCTGCCACCGTGGCTGAGGCTGAAGTTGGAAGGTACAACTCGTCCACGTTGCTTCCGCGGGGCCTCCAGAAAACGGGGTTTTTGGGAACTTCGTGCGATTTTGAGCCCATACAGTGCTAGACAGGGTCCGACAGGCTTGCAAAATGCAAAAATTTCGGCAACTAAATTTTGGTGAGACACTGCCTTTAAAATCTTTGTCGAAGTTCGTACCGTAATTTTACAGTAATGAAAAGCGACAGATGGTTCGCTGCATACTGTAAATCTAAGTTCAAATTCGCTCTACTAAAGGGTACCTAAAGCTTCGCGAAACACTTTATTACAAGAGAGTTATTTACAATCAAACAGTAGGCACATTTTTGGGACACCCTGTATAAGTACAATATCGTTTTTAGGGCGGGAAGCAAAGGGGATATCGTTTTTGCGGGGTCCGCGGCGGAGAAGTGCCGCAAGAATGCCGCCGGCATGCCACCGGCATACTGTCCATCAACAAACAAAGGCCTCGTTCTCAGTCGAAATGCAATAGTATGACACTAAATTTGGTGTGTGCATGAGCGTTGGTGGACCGGTATAGCCCAAAAATTTATGGAAACTTATGTGAGCGAAAGCTGTGCCAAACTTTTTTTTAAATTAGCTGGCACCGTGCCAGCTGGGTGCCAGCTGAGCTGGCACCGACACTTTGCTCACATAAGTTTTCATACTTTTCTACATAGAATGTATCTATACTGTAAAAGTTTACATACGGAGAAGAAACATTTCATAATGTTTTCTTTTCAGCGTTTTATAGCAATTTTAAAATTAATCAGTCTGCTCCGCAATCGAAAAATCGGCTTTTTCTGCTTCTCAAGATGTGATTCAATCACATAAAAAGCTCAGAAATTTGTGAAAAGTGGTTTCATGAAATCAGCATGCATGAAAACCCTACTACATACTTTTACAGAATCCAAAAATAATGACGTGTCTTCAAAACTGGTCAAAGGGGACTTTGTACCAAATTTACAAGATCAAACGAGACTTCGTTTCGAAATTTCCCTGGTGCCAGCTCGTGCCGAGCCCTGGTAAACACACTTAAGAAGAGATAGCTGTTTTTCACCAGCACTCTGGAACTACGAAATATAAAGCTTTCTTCTAATTTGAGGATCTCCGCAGCGGAAATGCTAACTTGGCGCCTTTAGTTTAAAACTCTTTCAATATCGGAAGCACTTCTGCGTGTACCATTTCCGAAGTTAAAGGAGGCTGCATTATAAGTTTTCCTCTTATATTGATCCATTATTTATTTCAGGGTTATGAATTCATAGAAGACGAACTCAGGGCCAGCTTTCACCCGCAAAATATCTTCTGCTTCTCTGTAGACGCGAAAGCTGGGAATGAATTCTATTCCAACATTTTTGCGCTTTCGATTTGTCTGCCTAACGTACTGGTTTCTCCAAGTGCGTTCTATTTCAATATCACGATGAAATATTGTCAGTAAACAGTTACCTTTCCTTAAGGTTCTACAACCGAGCTTATCAAACTGAAAGTGTCTCTCGCGTGATTCCTACTTACGCACATGCGATTAAAGCATAATCTTGTCTGATTAAATTGTTCGTCTCCATGTTCACTACTTTGTACTTATTCGTTGAAAAGTGCTCTTGTATCTCTGTATCATTTTTAATTTTTAAAAATGAACAAAATTTTTTCAAAAACTTTAGAGAAAACAAATTTGATTTTTTTCCAGTTTGTTGCGGTAATGTAAGACATATTACGAACAACAATTTCATGGACTCAAGTTGTATTTTTTTAAAATTAATGCAATTCAGTTCGCTATCCGATAAATAGTCTAGGAGAAAATGTGAATCAAGCTCACTACGATTGTCTTAAGCTTCTTTCCAAGCACGAAGGCTGGCAATACGCCATATTACTTCAGGTGTGATATCTGACTATCTCGAAGGAAACATTTCGCAGTAGAATAAGTGCATAATCAGCAATAATTCCAGAACTACGACATGATGATCAAATCTGTATACGAGACTGTGTCGATTCTAAAAGCGCTTAACGGTGCAAATGACATCTACTCAAGACCTTGTGAAAAGAATAGATGGAATCACACAGCAAATTGGAATGTGCGCACATTGAAGCTCTTCCGTAATGGTAACTTAGCTACTTATGACTTGACTCCTGCAAAGGCATAGTTACATCATTACAGAATCATTAGCAACAGCCTCACAATTAGCTACTAACTTGACAATCGTTCGAGGAGTGGTACAATCTTCAATAAGTAGAGCTGCTGTTGAATGGGCTGTCAATACCGTTGACCTAACTGCGCTTATCAACCAAATCCACACTCGTGTAAGTAACTACGATATTTAGGGTTTACTGCCTAGCACTAATGGCACTGGTTGCCGGTGCTTCAATGAAAAATTGGCCTGGGATGAGCATGCAAGAAGGGGTGACGTTGGCTGCCATTTTCACTCAGATAATCGTTGGTTACGGCAAGACATTTTCGACACCTTCATGGCATCGATTTCAAATCCTGCCTCCGCAACATTGAATGCACTTTGAAGATGCGATCATGTATCCGCGGTGTTGCATTGTTGATGGTTTTGTAACCAATTCACAGCGCTACTTGCGAAGCTTTGAAGAAAGTGTCTTACCAAAATCGGTTAATGCGGATTTCCACCATTCTACTAAATGGCGCCCTAAATAGGCCACTGCAAGTTTGACTCGATTTGGCCCGCTCCACTCTGAGAAACTCAAAGTGGCAGGCGGTGAGCATTACGCGCGGGAAACTTCTCAAGTCTTCTTCTTTACGCGTTTTGACGTGTGCCTCCACATGGCGCACACCTCATTGTATTGCACTGTGGCGGAGGCTGAAGTTACGAGGCACGAGTTCACGTTGCTTCCGCGGAGCCTCCAGGAACGGAATTGTTGGGAACGTTGTGCATTTTAAGCCCCTACAGCGTTAGACAGGGTCCAATAGGCTAGCAAAATCAAAAGTCTCAGCAAGCAAATTCTAGTGAGACACTGCCTTTAAACCGATCACACATATACGACTTTCTTTTCTTCGAGAACCCTCAGAAGCAAGAAAAAATGTGTTAGCATCTGTATGCATACGTCTCTTCCATTTTTGGGTTCCTGTTGAAATAAAGTCGGAAGAGATTGAAAACAGTTCGAAAAAGACGCAAACAGGGTCAAGCGGGTGATGCGACTGTCGCAAAGGGGATCGTAAAGGGGGCACCGGCGGCAGGGGGGAGTCGTAAGAGAGAGTGGTCCGAAATGAAAAAATGTAGAATGTAGGAAAGCTTCAGTCGCAAACATCCTCTACTTTTCAAAAAACTGTATTTTTCTCTTGCAAAAAAGGTGTTGCAGACGAGGATCGAACTTGCTGGCCACAAGTCTTACCGAAGATTCCAAAGACACTTTCAGAAACTCAAACACTAGTGTTGTATGTGTGACAAGAATGTAAATCCAATTGGCCTAAAAATCCTGGGTCCGAAACATCACTGAAGTCTCATACTCTCGACAAAAGCGGTCATCTCTATCAGCGATGACCACCGATGATTTTTGAACCTTTTTGTTATGTCTTTCGAGGACCCATGCAATTTACCTGTACTTTGGAGATTCTCTGCTAGTTGTGCAAAGTCTGGTTATATTAGGTCATTCCGAAAGTAATTTCGCTTTTTTCAAACGGGTACCACATGTGACGGAACAAAGTTTCCTAAGAGATCTTGGAGGCATTCGATGCAGAATTTCATTCTCTTTCTAAGGGTTATGAAATTGTTGCAAAACACTCAAAGATCTTTCAGAAAATAACCAAGATGTGCGACCCATGCTTTTTGAGATGGCCAAGTTTCACGATTTTTCAAAACTTTCAATCCAATCTTCAGAAGGAGTTCAAGTAACGATTTGATAGTGTAAACCTCATAGAATACAGCACTGCTTTTTTCTCCTTTTCATAGCTTGTCATACATTTTTAACAGAATTTTAACTGATGCTACCCATTTCCATACTTGGGCAGCTAAATCCTCGAAGAACATCAGTGAAAGAGCAGCTCGGGCAGTATTCGATGCAGCATTTTCTCCTCTTTTTAAAGGGTGTTTTTTGTTTCCGATTCGTTTAGTTTTCGGAAATAAGATCATCATAACTCATTTTTCTAGCGAGCCCCAGGCTGTGCCCGAAAAACTCGAAATTTGATATTTCGAACCCGTAAACCCTCACTTGCCTTGTAATTTAATGCTAACTCATAGTACCATGTTGATAGTCTCAAATTCCGAAAAATTTATGATGATTGATGCGATTGTGGCTGAGGTGGGTCTGCCAAAATCCGATGGTTCTGTTTGAAAAAACTTCTAAAAAATTATAGCGGCCTACCAGAAAGAGAAAAAAGCAGTGCTGTATTCTATGAGGTTTACCCTATCAAATCGTTACTTGAACTCCTTCTGAAGATTGGATTGAAAGTTTTGAAAAATCGTGAAACTTGGCCATCTCAAAAAGCATGGGTCGCACATCTTGGTTATTTTCTGAAAGATCTTTGAGTGTTTTGCAACAATTTCATAACCTTTAGAAAGGGAATGAAATTCTGCATCGAATGCCTCCAAGATCTCTTAGGAAACCTTGTTCCGTCACATGTGGTGCCCGTTTGAAAAAAGCGAAATTACTTTCGGAATGACCTAATATTTCATAGCCTGTGGATTTGTTTAAAAGTTTATATATTCAACAAAAAATGAAAAAAAGGGGGGGGGGGGGGTCGTATCTGGGTCACATCTAAATTTTTTCGTCGCTATGGTAGCTTGTTCGCTGCAATTTTGCTATACGATGCCATCCTCCTATCTTTTTCTGCTAAAAATTTCTGGCTGTTTCGTTATGTCTCCAGTGAGTTAAGGAATTTTGAGCTTAAAAATCCCAATTTTTGGCTTCTAGGATCGCATCTGAATTTGTTAGAGTCGCATTCAATTTTTATCGAGCTCACTGCTCCTCAATGGCTGAAACTTTTTCCGCGGATAGTCTGGACACAATACTACACATCATATTCATTACAGCCTCTCAGTCTTTCCGACCTTGGTTACGAAGTTTTGAAGTATACCGCGCTCATGCACGTTTGACATCGTTCTGGAAGGCGCTAAAACAGTTTTTTTTTTTCGCAGGAAAATCTGTGAAATAGATAGAAAGTAAGCTTTTTAGTCGAAAGCAATATTTGCGCTCTGAAGATATCGTTTTTTCTCTTTGCAAAAAAGTATTTTCGCGTACGGGGATAAAACACGTGTCATTAAAATCTAAAACGTTCTAATTTCCACCATAGTCTGTATCTTTCGGTACCATTGGATCATGAAAGGATTATTATAAAAAATACTCAATTATAATGACTAAAGTGAACCGTTCCGTAATGCTGAATTTTTCTTGGTTGTTATTTTATTGCATGTTTTATATTAGCATCTTAAAAGTAATTTCGCTTTTTTAAAAGTGGCGCCAGATTCAAAAGAATAAAGATTTTCTAGAGATCTTGGTAGCATTCGATGCAAAATTTCATTCTCTTTCTAATCGCAATGAAGCCTTTGCAGCACAATTTTTCGGAAAATAACCAAAACCTGCGACCCATAGTTTTTGAGATGGTTTAGTTTCACAATTTTTTAAAGCTTTCATATCAAACCTTCAAAAGAGTGCAAGTAACGATAAGATAAAGCAAACCTTATGGGATACAGTACAACTTTTTCCTCTCTCTCATAGCCGTAATTTCTGAAAGATTTTTTTTATCAAAAGCATCGAATTTTGGCAGGTCTACGTCAGCCACAGTTGCATCAAATACCATTAATTACTCGGAATTTGAAACTTCCAAGACGGTATACGACTTAATATTGATTTAACAAAGCAAATGAACGTTTACGGAAAGCGTTTGCTCGAAAAACTCGAAATATCAAATTTCGAGTTTTTCAAGCATAGCCTTGGGGCGCATTCAAGAAGATGAGTTATGATGATTTTGTCCCCGAAAACTGAAGGAATTACAAACAAAAAACGCCCACTAGAAAGAGGAGAAAAAGCTGCATCAAACACACCCGAGCTTTTCTCCCTTTGATGTCCTACGAGGATTTAGCTGTCCAAGTATGAAATTGTTAGCATCGGTCAAAATTCTGTTTGAAAAGTGTGACAAGCTGTGAAAGGAAGAAGAAAAATACTTTGCATCCTGTAGGGTTTGTTTTATAGATACGTTACTTTTGCTTCCGGAGGAACGATATAAAAGTTGAGAAAAATTGTGAAACTTGACCATCTCGAAAAGCAGGGGTCGCAGGTTTTGGTCATTTTCTGAAAGCTTAATGACAGAACTGCAAAAATTTTATAACGATTAGAAAGAGAATGAAATTCTGCATCGAATGCTTCCAAGATCTCTCAAGAATCTTCATTCCTTCAAATCTAGCGCCCCTTTGAAAAAAGCAAAATTATTTTTGGAGCGACCTAATAGGTAAAGTACAGCTTAAATACCATTCAAATCAATATCAATGTTCTTCTTTGTAAGATGATGTTTTTCCATTCATATTTTTCCAAACACAATAAGCATAGCCAGCCCAAGATCTGGTCTAGGCGAACACCTACTACATCAAGAAGGATGTATGCGAGTGGCGACCGACGAACACAGATAGACTTCTGGGCTATCCGACAGTGTGACCTCAAAAATGTAAAGGACTGCAAAGTCATTCCCAGTGAGAGCTGCATACCTCAACATAAAATAAACCACTGCTTCTCGAATAAAAATAACAATGGACAAACACATGAGGAGAGCCACAGAGACCAGGATACGCATCAAATGGTGGAGACTGAAGACCAACAACGCAGCGAAATAAAAACTGCTAACAGCTTCAACAAGCCTGCAAGAGAACCTAGAGCGATCCTGGGCAAGCTTGAAAGATCGAGTCCACTAAGTGGCACACCTGATCCTGAGCAGTACAAAGCCAGGAAAAAGAAGGATCAATCGAGAAACGTGGTGGTGGAGTGACGAAGTGCAAAAAGCCATAAAGGAGAAGAGATGCGTACAAGCGATGACATAAGACAAAAATGGAGGACGATCGCCAGACGTACTAACAAGCCAAACGCGCTGCGAAGGCTTCCGTAAAGAAGGCAAAACAGGTGTACTTGAAAGAGCTCTACGACCACCTGGAGTCTCGCGAGGGAGAACGCGAGATATACCGGATAGCGAGAAAAAGAGCGGAATCCACAAAAGATAAGAACAAAGAAGTAGTACATCGCTGCCTTTTCACTCATTTGGCGCATGTCGTCCAAAAATTTCCTAGCGCGAACAATTTACCATGACGTTGCGCGTGTTTTATAGAATGCGTTTCATCGACTCGCAAATTCCCACACCAGCAAGGCTAAACTGATTACGAAGGCAGCGTGACGACAGCAACTAGTGTAAGTTTTAGGCGTGCGGCAGATATAAATATCATGCCATTGGCAACACTACGAGATAGCTCCTTCATGTTAAGCGATAAAACTCTTGAAATTTTCATGCATATCACTTCAGGTGCTCGGTACAGACGAGCTACTTTGGGCTATCTTGCAAATGAGCGATGATTTACAAATGCCAGGAAGATTTACCGGAAATTGCAGTAAAAGCTACGTACCCTCTTTTACAAGGTCTGTCAACTGCTGATATTTTCAAGAGGAGCCTACGCCAGGCTTTTGTTGCTTATCTATCTATAGCTGGTTCGCTGACCGCACAGACTGGACATCACTGCGAAGCACGCGCGGCGCAGTAAAACGCTTGCTCCAGTAAAAATTCGCCATTGTACAAGTCATACTCTCGCGACAATTTAGCCGTGCTATGCATGTCCGCAGCGTTTGAGTAGTCCGTGCGGTCAACCAATCGACGATACCTAAACTGATCAGAGTTAGAATTATCTGACTAGAAAACTCATTTTTCTGAATTGATTTGAACCAAACTTTGTACACATAAATTTCTGGGCGAAGCGTGCGCTAATTTTTGTTATCGATGAATATTAATTTGTTGATTTTTTGCAAACTTCGAGCTACGGCCTCGAGCTACGGATTTGGGGTTGCCGCAGAGTTACTGAGTTTGCGGATTATGAATAGTACAGGGAGTCCCAAAATATCAGGTGGTCCTATAAGTTCCGTCTGAATTTGATTGTTTCTCAATTTCTCTTCTAGCTTCCAACAAATTTGGGGAAAAGTGTGTGTGCAGTGTAGAGGGTTGTTAAAACTTCAATGTTATATGTGTATAACCTCGTAGCGGCCCTGAAGGAAATTAGATTGAGTCAAAATGGAGAAGTCTCATATTCGTGCGATTATTTTCTACGAGGACCAGAACGGCACCAAAGCGCAAGAGACGGCACCAAGAACCTCGCATTTGTGCCGGGCACTACTACCGGTCACATCGTTCGTATATGGTACAAACGCTTTAATAACGAAGAGACAAGTTTCGAAGATACACACGCACCAGTCGACCTGTCACCTTCGACGATGACGCTTTACGACGCGAGCTGGACAACCACCCGGATGCTTCGACGCGGGACTTGGAGAAGACGCTTGGAGCTTCTCATAGTGCCATAGAGCGACACCTGCACTCCATTGGCTTTCGAAAAATTCTGCCAAACTAGACGCCGCACGAATTGACCGAAAACGACCGTGCCGTACGAGTCAGCATTGCCCAAAGTTTTCTGCTCCATCCTCATCGAAAGGACTTTCTCGCCTCATTTGTTACTGGAGGTGAATCCCGGGTTTATTACGAAAACTCCACACGTGGCGCCTATAGGACTCCTTTATGGGAAACACCGCCAACGCAGTCGAAACCTGGGCTCCACCGTCGCAAAATTCTCCTCGGTGTTATCTGCGACGCTGAAGGCATGATGTTTTAGGGAGTCAGTCACAGCCGCACGGTCAACGCCGACATCTACATGGAGCAGCTCCAAAAGCTAGCTGATATTTTGAAAGAGAAACGTCCAAAACGATTGGAAGTTGAGCTCTTGCATGACAACGCGCGGCCGCACACGGCAAGGTCCACTCGCAATTTTCTGGAGAAGCTCGGATGGACAACGGTACCCCACCCGCCTTATAGCCCGGACTTGCGCCTCGGATTACCATATTTTCTGAGCTTTGAAATTTTATCTGCGCGAGAAAAAATTCGAAGATTATGAGGCACTCAAATCTGACATTTCGACTTTTTCAACTCGCAGCTTCGCTTCTTCTGGAGCCGAGGCATTGAAAGCTTGCCCACTAAGTGGCTTTCGGTCCTTGATAGTAATGGTGAATATATCATTTACTAAGCAGTTGGATAAAAGAAGTTATTTAGAAAAAATAAAAAGCGGTCAAATTCGGGCGGGACTTATGGCACAACCTGATAAATAAAGGTACTACAAAACGAAGGCGCAATAGCAGTATTAGTTGGGCGGGCGCAGACATGGCGCGTGCGTATCCTCACGGTTGTAAATCTTGCGCCTCCTGCGCTCTGCGGTTAATATAGCCGCGTTCGCGCACAAAGATATTGCGCCTTCGTCATGCAGCAGCATATATACGCTTTTTGATCGCTAATAACTCTCTTCGCACAAAGTCTTTTGATAGACTTAAGTACCACTCCGTAGAGCAAACTAAACAACGCAACTCCAACTTTAACAAATCTATGCTATAGTGTGGATCATTTAACGCTCTTTATTACTGAGGATTACGGTACGAAATTCAAGAAAGGTTTTGAGCCATTAAGGACCACAGCTCGTCCCAGAAAGCAGACCAAACGACTCAAAAATTCTTGCACTAGGCTACTCAGAGTTGACACTAAACATCGACTTTGCAATTTACCGCAATATTTTTTTCATAAGCTATGCCTAGTAAACCGCGGTAGCTGCTTTTACAGTACTCCTTGAATTGTAATTGCACCTTTCAAAAAGTTCTGCAAACATGAAGTTGAGCAATGAAACCAACGGGCGTGAAGACCTTAACAAACTGATTGTTTAAAAAAATTTTAAACACGGCTAGTACACAATGACGCTGTAAGCTGAAAGTTTCAACAGTAATTCTACAGTGACCAGGAGACACTCAGTCATTGATACAAGCAAAAGCAGGGTTGGTCAAAGACAAACGCTTCCGAAAGCACCAGCGAGGCCCACTTACTCCGCACTTTCCTGTTTAAAAGGCTAGGTGGTTTGTGTTTCCACTCACTATTTTTTGGTGCCCTCGAGTGTAACAGATAAAGATAAAGACAAAGATAAAAGTTAAGATCATCCCAATTGAATATTTCTAGAGCACTTTTTAACAAGAGCTTCACATTTAGTTGAATGCTGTTACGCAATCTGGCATTCAAAAGCAAATAGGAGCGCAGTATATTTGACCAGCACATTTTGGGGTAACAAGCATGGAAGAAACAGTTTGAAAAAATAACACACCTGGACTCATATCCACGAAAGTCCATAATGGAGGAAAATGGACTTACTTAGACCATTTCATTCGTTCGCGTTAGAAAATGGTCGAAATCGGCTCCCGCTTACGATATCCAAAATTTTTCATGCCGTCGCAACCGCGAGGTAAAGCGGTAAAATGAAAATGATTCAAGCTTACTTGAGCAATCGTTCGCGGAAGATGACCTCAAAAGTCCATTTTAGAATGGGGCAAAGTGGAGTTCACCTCCATGTTGATTCGCTCTCACCTTTCTGATAAGCCCATTTTACTCCCAGCAGCCAGATGTGCTGGGACTAAGCCCATTTTTGACCTTTTTGCATGTTTTTTATTGCGATTTTTTGAAAATATGTTCCCTAGCCCTTTTTAAGATACTAAGCGAACGGAGAAAGTTTTATCTCCTTTAGGAGGGCCAAAAAACTATCTTTTCCAAACAGCCTTGAAATGCTTTGAAAATCATAGAAAAATTTTTTTTGTAGACAGTTGATACAGACAGACAGACGGCAATTCAAAATTCGCGATTTTGAGTTTGGTAGCAAGAAGTACTGAAGTACCGCTAGCAATTCAGGATATTCTGTGAAAAATTTCTCACTAGCTATAGTCTATACATTAGTCACTTCTTGCTCTCGTATGGAAATATAAAAAAATCGCGATTTACCAAAATGAAACAACTCATTTTATAGAGAAAATCTTCTCGATACGTCATTTTGTCCCCGAAAACACTTTTCAATACCCAAAACGTCGAAGCAAACTCTGTTTTATATCTGAATATAGAGCATCACATTAGGGTTGAGAAAAAAGGTTACCTGATTGGTACTGGATTATGCGAGAGCTTCTCCAACAACCGGCTAATTTGAGTTCTGTTCAAAATCTATAAGGTTGCCAATAGCAAAAGGCATTGGTTTAAGCATTCCCTTTATGCTGATCAGAGTATATGCCTAGATAAGTTCTAAACGCAAAATTGAATTCAGTGACTTTGTCATCATTCTAGTATACACCCCTCAAACTCACACAGGTGATGCAAGAAAAACAGCTTCATATATCAAACGCCATATTTGCATGAAAGTTTGGGGTTGCTAAAGTACAGCATGAAAAGCCATCAATTTTTTGCAGATCCAAAGTTTTTCCAGCTCAAAAGCCTCTGTGTTGTAGTGTACAATACCGCTCACAGAATGTGCAAAATTTCCGTGAATGTCGCAGAATTCCAGGAATTCCGCGAAGGTTCGCGAAATTTCGGGAATTTCGCGACATTCCTGGAATTTCGCGAAATTCATGTGAATCACGCAAATTACGCAGGGCCATAACGTCTTTCCGAATGAGTGCATTCGAAATTCGAAAACAGCATTGTATTCAGCTCGTCAAGGCGAATCTTTAGGTTGTGTCCAATACATTGTTTTCGATAATCTTGAATTTGCACGCGGACGCCTCTTCGCATGGTGGTAACGCAACGAGCATCACACATAGGAGACTGCCATAGGCACCGTTCGATAGTACTCTTTCAATAGATTATCGTGCGCTAAACAGCAGCCGAAGACTCATTTTCGAAAGAGATAGAAGAGCTGATAAACTCTGGAAAAATCAAGCTGTTCCAGGTTCTACTAGCCGTAACTTCCTTCAGAATGAACATCTTCGAAATCCGAAAGCAGCACTGTATTCAGCTCTTCAAGGCGAATCTTTCTGTATACAGCATGTCCTTGAAATTCCGTTTCCAATTTTTTCAAAATTTTCTGCGCTCGTATATTCACAAGGTCGCAACGCAGCGCACATCAAATATAAAAGACTCCAATAAGCACTGTTGGATTGTGCTGCTTTCGCAGATTTTTGAGTGCTAAAAAGCAATCGGAGAATTTGCTTGAAAAAAGATAGAATAGCTGGTGAATTCTGGAAAAATCGCGTTGTCTCAAATTTTGCCCACCGTGACCCTAAAATGAGAAGCTCTACTGCTAAGCAGATGTGATTTTTGTAATCAGCAGGTCAGATAACCTCTATGAGCAAGTTTTCAAAGAAATTCGGATGATTTGATTTTTTCTCGTTTTACGCCCTGAAGCTCGCCGATGGGTTTTCGTCAAAATGTCGATGATCTCGGATTGTAAGGAAACTTCGCTCAGAGAGGTTTTCGAACACGCTGTTTACGATAATCGTCTTTTGCGCGGAGTACATAGTTTTCTAGCAGAGATATGGTGAGGGAACTTTAGCTAAGCCACGCAAGTTCGTAGATTCGCCTGCATTTT